TAAATGCAAATTGGTAAGTGCCATGAAAGAAAAATAGAGAAAGCTCTGAGAATATAGTAGGGGCAGCTGGCAGAGTATATAATGTCTCCTATTGCACTATCTAAATATCACTACACTAATATACATTTGGGCTTCTTGAGCTTAGGGCCTATGTTCTTTCATTATTAAATCCCACCCCCTTTTATCAATGATTGGAAAAATATCTACCATAGAGTTTACCTGTTTGTGTGCTCTATTCCATTGTCCCAAGTGTCTCTGAGGCAAAGAACATCTTTGTAACCCTTGTAAACGCCTTGTATAGGACTTAACATATAGCTGGTTCTTAATAAATTCTGCTTGAATATAATTGTATTTCTCAAAATTCAACGATGTTTCTGTTTTTAGTAATTGCTTGTGCTATTTTTCCACACTTCCGCATCTTAAGGTAGTAACTTTCTCTCAATTCACCGATTAGCAAGAAGGACTGAGGTTGGCTGTGGCCTTTTGAATTTTGATTTCCCAGCCAGCCAACATACCCTCACAAGGAGCATATTTAAGCTTGCACAACCCTAGAATTATTCAACCCTTTTCAGTTTGAAATCACAAGCGTGAGTCATCTAGACAAAGAATTATCTTCCTCTGAACCTTTAATTAAACTTCCATCCAGGCATTTCCAATTGATTTTATTTCAAAACAAGTTTTTCTTTGTAAAACAAAAGGATAACAAGAGGAGGAGGTAGATGAGAAGAGATAAAAATAGTTTCTTGTTAACAAGCATTAATGTAATATAGCCAGGAAGAAATGCCTCGTGCGCAGTCAGAGCCAGAAACTGAGTCTGAAATAATAAACAAATTAGAAAGTTTTCTTCTCTGGATAGAGTTGTTTTTGGCATTAAATTAATGTCAGATGCATTCAAGTTTATCTTTAAAGTGGAAAATAATTTGGTTCATTTGCGTTATTGTTTTGTTTGATTTTCCACTTGGTTTGTTTCATTCCCATATTTATGTGTGTGAGGCTATGGCAGGAGAGGGGATGAAATGATATTCCAGGAACTCTTGAGGAGAAAAACAAATCTACTAACATTGTTTAGTCTTGTGCAAAAAGCGCAATGTTTAAAGTGGTTTAAACTGCAGCATTTGTTAACTCCTTGGCCTTCAAACTGTTACTATTGTGTGAGCAGAAATGCAATAATATTATTCATTCTCTGGGCTCACAATTAAGTCACATGCACCTCCCAACTTTTATATATTCTCTGATTTTTAATCTTCTATACTTGACCGTATACCTAGCAGAAGTTGAAGCTGGTAGAAAGAAGTGTGTTTCAAGGCATTGGGTTTCCTTTCTCCCTTACCTCCCCGGGGCAAACATGCGGAAAAGAGTAACCTGATATTCTGGTATGTTTGTCTGCTCTGAGGAAATGGAATATGATTTTCTATAGGCAATATTATAAACCATAGTTGATTTCTAGATCATTCCACAAACAACAACAACAACAACAAAAACCTATTTAAGCAGTGATATAGATAAAATAGTACTAGGGTTCTGATTCACCTGGGTTTTAAAAGGCTTTTTTTGTGGGATGTCTTGAGAATTTGACCACCATATAAACAGTGTTTTTATGGAACACTGCTTCCTGAAATAGTAAAAGAAAATTTAAGACACATTCAGCTCATAAGATAGGATGCCACCTCTTTACATAGAGACGGTCTTTGAAAGCACTTTTCAGTAGTTTTACCTCTTTCTTGATTTCATACTAACTTTGCAGCAAGCTAGGTACTGTACCGGTCCCTCCGTCATCCATCCCGCTATCTGGAAGGGGAGGTGAGTAAGCCACTTTCTGCTCTTCCTCTCACATTTCACACTCATACAGTACAGACTACTTTTGCGTCCCTTAAAATGATATACACACGCTCTTCTCTCTGCCCGGAAGGCCCGTTCCTTTCCTGCCCACCTGGCTGACTGCTGCTCATTCTCTAGTTCCACCTGCACCTCCTCTGAGAAGTCCCCCTGATTCACCATTGTGGACAGTGGGGCCTCCCCACCCCCCCACCACCAGTGCTCTGCTGCTTTCTGCACATTCTCTCCTTAAGCAGCTACTTGTGACTATTTCCAAGTCTAAGACCTTGCTAGGCTACAAGCACCTTGAAAGCAAGGACCAAATCCTGTGAGTGTTTCTGTGTTTACTGTGTACTGCCTGACACAGTAAACATGACCAATGCAAATAAGAAAGGAATTAATGAATGACTTATGAATACTTCTTTTAAAAACATCCAACTCCTTCGTTCTAATTATCCTTTCATGTCCGACCGTTACGCTTGCACCAGGCAATCAAACACAAATATTTTCCTGTCTTTTACAAAACAAAAAGGCTCAAGTGGAGAGAAAGAGAGAAGGAAAAAAGACACAGAGGTTGAGAGGGGAAAATACAAAACAAAAACCTGAAGAATCAACCAAACAATAAAACCAAACATGAGAGACGTTCATTAGATAACTGTTATCTACAGACGGATGAGTGGACTATTGGGTCAAAGTTGGAACTGAAAACAGTTACTGCATGCATGTCCCTTAGATAAGGGAAGCGAGGGACATCCAGAGCCAGGAGGAGAGGCATTATGGATGAAGCTCTTCATGGGCTGGGTAAGATAGTGTGTCTTGATGGAAAAGACGGACCCCGTATCTCTGACTGTAGTACTATACATTAGCCAGCAGAGGGTAGCCGCAAATATTGCATGCATTTTCCCCTTTCCCTTAATATTTTCTTCGTATTTCAGATAAATATAAAATTGGCAGTTCTTCTCTCCAGAGGTAGAATATAGAAAGTGGTGGGTGTAGTAATTCTTTAGTAACTTGTGGGGAATTGTTTGGATGTTTCGATTTGGTGCTCCAAGCTAGGGAACACGGGCTGTTGGTCGGAAAAATGATTATGCAGTTAGAGCTAACTTTGCAGAAGCAGTATTGTATGGTGAATGCTGTGCTAAGTGACTCACATTAACATATTTAATTATCTCGAAAAGTCCTGGTATGTACTATTTTATCAGTCCCAATTTCTAGGCAAAAAAACTCTGAACATTAGATAATTTAGGTAACACGGGAAGGCTGGAATTAAAGCAACACTTGTTCCCATTCGCTGTGTTATATAAGCTCTCTCAGCAGAACATTCCCAGCTCCCACCATCATGCTGTGCTTGGCTGAGCTCGGCTGACGAAGTGTGGGACCTGAGTTGGCGTCAGTCAGTGAGAGGATCACAGGGAAAGAACGAAAACAGAAAGAAATGAAAAGGAAAAGACATTGTAGATGTGAATAATCCTAAGTCATAATGGTTTCAAAACCATATTTACCAGCCTAAAGGAAAATATGTTATGATAATGAGATATTTATAGGGTTTTTGTAAGTTACTGCGGTAGGTTTCCTTAAATTTTTCTCCTTAATATCCATAATTGGCATTTTATTTACTTTAACTGCCTCATCACTATCTCACTGTGAATAAATGGGGAAAGTGTATTTATGGTGGTAAAATCCTATCTGGCCAAGACATGAACCCTAGCATAGCTCTTTAAGACTTTGGTTATGATATTAGCATTGACTGGGAGTATATGTTAGCAGATTTGTGAGGAATAAAATGAAGATGTTTTTATTTTACTTTGGAAAATATTTTTTATTTTTTTTATTTCAGAATATTATGGGGGTACAAATGTTTTGGTTACATAAATTGCTTTTGTGCCATTTGAGTCAAAGTTATAAGTGTGCAACCCAGATAGTGTGCATTGTACCCACTAGGTATGGATTTACCCATCCCCTCCACCACCCTCCACCTGCTTGATTTCCAATGAATGTTATTTTCATATGTGCACATAAGTGTTGATCGATTAGTTCCAATTAAATGGTGAGTGCATGTGGTATTGGTTAAAATATTTTTGAATGTTTACTGTATTGTCAGGCACTCTGCTAGGCACATGGGTTAAAAGGTATTTAAGACTAAATTTCTACTCTCAAAGAGTTCCGGCTGGGAGAATAGACACATACATTAATACCCACAATGGAATATGATAAACCCTATCCTAAAAGCATGTGCAAAGTGCCAAGGTGACAGAGAAAGGACAGCTTTATAGGTCTCCCGATATACAACAGCTTGTCCTCTGGATTAATATTTAAGATTTGCCTGGTGCTTGATTTGTAGCTTAACACTGAGCATGAAAATAGTTGCGTCCTGTGATGGAGGAATGCCTAGAATTCTGACCACATCTACTCCCTAAAATGCTGAAGATACAAAGAAATAGTAAATGCTGCTATAGTCAGTCCTTTGTCGATTAACACTCACCTACTGAGGGCTCGCTGCAGGTAAGATACTCCAACGGCCATATGGAACAATGGGCAAGAGTTTGGAAAAGAAACTTTACAGGGAAATAAATCATCAAGCAGAATGATTTAATTTTATAGCTGGAAATGGCTCAAGAAAACATCTAGATTAACTCCATCATTTTACAGATGAGGAAACTGAGAGGTCTGGCAGTAAAAAAGGGATCATTTTTTAAAATGTCATACATCTAATTAATGTCTGGGCTGGGAGCTCTCAGAAGACTGGCAGGCAATGCAGTGAGTAGTGCCACCGTGAGCTCAGACATCGCACAGCTAGGGCTCAATGCTGTCACCACCACGTGCTGGCTGGGTTATCTTAAGTAACTTATTTAAACTCCCTGCCATTCAGTTTCCTCGTCTGCAAACTGGAAATAATACTATGGTATCTACCATATATAAAATGAGAGAATACATGTAAAACCATAATTAAGATTACAATGAGATAATGCAAATTAACTAGAGACATAATAAAAGCTTGGTGATTGCTAATTATTAGAACTCATGTGTCTCAATTTCTGCATCAGTATTCTTTCTGCCACCACAAAAATGCAAGAAGTAAAATGGGGTTTTGTTCATTTTTGTTTCTCTGACGCAGAAAGAAATCTTTTTTTTAGATCTGTGTGCTCATATCATGTCCTCATTTCCCTTTACATCTCTCCTTTCAGGGCCAAGGAGATTAAGATCAAGTTGGGAATTCTCCTCCAGAAGCCAGACTCGGCTGTTGACCTTGTCATTCCATACAATGAGAAGCCGGAGAAACCAGCCAAGGCCCAGAAGTGAGTCATAAATACGGGTTCCACTCATTTTCCTCCAGAGGACAGCTGTTTTTCAAATGTTTAGCACCGTCCCTCATCCCTGAAACTACCAGCTTCAATTACTCATTAAGGATCAAAAGAGCCCTCAGAGAGTTGGTTTATAAATAAGCATTTTGGTTTTTACTATCTCATGTCTGAAGCACACTATTGAATTTGTCAGAATATTTAAAAAATAAAAGATAGGGCTCTCTGCCTTCTCTTTGGAGAGACAGATCATAATTTATAAAATGACATCAGCCACCCTCCTCAGGTATTTACCACCTATGAGTGTGGTCAGAATAGTTGTTCATTTGCTGCCTTGGGTCAGGTAACCATGCTGATCTGATTAGTTATGAGCCCTGGATGCTCACCTGCTAAGGAACCATCCTAGAGTGTTTCCTCAGCAGGAAGGTGTAAGGGAAACATTTCCCTCAGGAAGCTGCTAAGGATGAGGAGGGCAGACAATTTGAGCCTAAGAGTTTCTTCTTCAAGATAGTGTCCCATCAAGACACAGCAGAGGAACAGAAGACTTAACGTAAGTGAAGAATGAATACCTGAGTAGCTATTTCTATTTAATGCAAACCAAGCATTCTTCCCAATTCATAAATTAATATTGCTGCTGGGTGCCTGCAGTCCTCCCTCCCTTGCCCCAGCCCCTTTCCGTACCTCCTCCCCGCTCCTCCTGTCAGCTTAGGCATCATAGGGAACTATAATTATACAGAGTCGATCGCTATGTTATGGCAGCGAATCCAGCTCTAGCAAGTACATGGGCCCCACTTTAACTTAATAACACTACTCACGGTATCCCCTTGTTTATTATCGCTTCACTAGCTGCATAGACCGTCACACCTGGGCATATACACGCCACCTTCCCTTTAAAACAGAGATACCCATGAAAGTCAAGAAAGGGAAGTGGGAAGAAGAAAAGACAAATGTATTCATTCAAATTCCTTCACTCTGCTCTTTGAGGATATCACAGAAGTGTGGTAAAAATACAGGAGTCCCCTTTCACTTCCATTTCTCTTTTTAAATTTAATATTTGTACGAATTGGGCAACTTGTCCTTTGTCCAAATGACCTTCGACTTAATATAGCTGGGTTGGTTGGGAAATAACAAGATGGGTTATTCTTTTTCTTTTAAAAATCTTTTTCCATTTAAGTGGATATTTCCATTCTCCTTTTTTTTATATCACTTCAAAGGGATCTCAAACCAGAAGTGAGGCATAATTGAGTTTTCTGCATTTAAAAAGGAGAAGCTAATTCAACCAGAAGCCGGCACCAAGCACTAGTGGGGAATAAGAAACTCACTGCAGAGCAGCAACAGATCAAAAAGTCTATTTTGAAGTAAACAATGTGGTAATTATTGATCTGTTGGCATTAACTTTAAAAATATAGTGCTACATTTCCTGCTTTGAATCTCTGCTTTAATATCCCACTTGAACTATTTGGCTGAACAGGGATTCAGAGAGCAGCTGTTTTGGAAGAAAAGCTGGGGCTGACCATTTATTGAATTATTTGCTTCTTTTGTCTTCTACCCACTTTCTTCCTCCAGAAGTTTGAATTGTTTGGGGGAAAAAAAAAAAATAATCCTTCCTGTCCCTAGGGAATACTGGTATCTCTATTGCATTTTCAACAGTGACCACTAAATAAGTTTCCCATTCCCTTCCAAACCCACAAACCCCCTCCCACCTCCTCATGTTCGGCACATTTCTGTGATCCGACAGGACGAGATCGTGTTCTGCTCAAACTCGGTCAACTCTCTTCTCTCTACTTTAAAAATTCTCTGTATTTTTTGCCTATGTTTGTCTCTCAGAAGAAAAAAATAATCCTCTTGACTGAAAGTATTTTTAACTCCTCTCATCTTCTTTGGGTTATCAACCTCAGTAGAATTCCTTTTTTAAAAAGCTTTTTTTATTTTTTAATATATTTTTAAATTCTCCCTGGAAAAGAATGGACCATAGAGAAAAATAGAAAAAAGCTGGCTATATCTGTACCACCCAAAGCCAGCTTCTGTTACCACTTTGATATTGTTAATTGCTCTTTCCTTCTCTGGATCTTCTTCCCCTGGGAACAGACAAGCACCATGTTCCACTCTGGAAAATGCTCTCCTGCCCTCCACCCTCTCTGCTCCTTTACCTTTCTCTTACTTTCATTGGTTGATTTTAGAAGTCTGTACTCACTGCTTCTAGTATTTACTTTCTCTCTTTCTTGTGGGGTTTAAACTTTACTACCTCACCAAAGCTGTTGTCTCTAATGCCCCATTTTCCACTTGTCTACAGCATTCGACTGCTCACCAGTTGCCCTTCTCTTAAAACTCTCTTCCTTAACTTCTAATCCAGGGTGTTCCCCCGTCTTCCCTCTCTCTCTAGATGCTCCCACTGTTGCCCACCCTCTGGATGTGAGCGTTCCCTAAAGCTCTGCTGTAAGTCCTCATAATAAACAATAAACAAAATTAGTCGACCGCATAAATTTAGTCTGTGATAACTGTTACCAGGGATTATAATATAGCCAATTGCAAAATGCCAGGAGCTGATATAGATATTCTGATAGTTTATTTTATATTCCAAATGTCCCTTTTGTCCCTGCCTACATAAGCAATTTTTACTACATTTTTGTTGAACGTCGTGTTTGCCACTTTACACTCAGGAATGACCTCCACACATGGATAGTGCCTAGTCTGCCAGTGGAGAACAGGATAGAATGCTGTCCTACACATACTCTCACCTGGTTGACTGCAGAGTGAGCTTTGTTATGAAGATCAAAGATGTATGTACCATTTTTGGCCATGTGGACATCAGAAAGTGGCAGGTCTTTGTTTCATTTTGTTTTTTTAAATCAGTATCCCCATCCATGGCATCCAGGTCACTGGAGACTGGTTATGAGCAGACAACACTGAACAATAGGATAGCAGAGCAGAGTAGGCACCTACAGATACCAGTAAATAGCCTGAATATTATTTTCCTTATCAAGAGCAAGAACATGTGAGAACATTATCAAGAATGTTTAAATATGTGCCAGGCACTGTGTAGATTAAAAACCAAACCAAACCCAAACCAAAACAAATTAAATGAATAAGAAACAATTTGCTGGTGCTTAGAGAGGCTAAAACACTATCCCATGGTTATAGCTAGTGTCGAAGTTGCCTACAGCTATGGTAGTGGTTCATGGGAAAGTCATTAAAATCCAAGTTTTGGGTTGTTTATCGCTTTCTTTCATCAACCAGGCTAACTCTGGGCAAAATGAGCCATCATTCATTTGCTTATTAATTTGACACACATTTAGTGGAGGGTGGGTTGATGCTGTAGGGGATGTGCCAGAGGAGAACGGGGAAAGCTCTCCATGAATAACAAGCTATACCTTTAGGTGGTGAATGTGTCATTGCCACGTGAGAGATTCAGTGACAAAGAAAGAGAGTGCTTCCAGCCAGGATGGTCACTTCCTGGGCCAGGTGACATTCACGCTAGGCATTCTAGAACACGTGGTTAATCATCTCTGTAAATGTTTATTTTGACTTTCATTTGAACTGGCTTCCTCTTCCTCCCCCGCACACCCACGTGCAGAGACTATGCCCACCCTTTGTGATCAGCTATGACCTTGCAAACCAGGATACTTCTTGGTCATTTAGATCTGCATTTGTCTTATTTCCAATGAAGTCAGCCTAAATGAAGGCTGGCAAATTCTGAGAATTGGAACGGGATGAACCTCTGTTACCTCCTAGCCTGGTAATCAGAACACTGGGCTTCATGCTGTGGGGGATGTGCCCTACTTGACTGTGCCCTTAAATCAATTTGGATTCATTTCACCCCCAAGCGGGCTCTGCACACGTCCTTTTCAAGAATTTAATCTTGGCTGTGATGTGTTGCTCCTACTAACCATTAGTTTGGTTCTAATGAGACCATTTGAGACAAACTGGATTGGGTAATATGTTTAAGTTGGGTGTACCTGCGCATGTCATTTCTCCTTCATGTGCACGTTGGTGCTAACCACAGGAAGAGGAGGGCAGGAAGGTGATGTCATTTTATGAAAATATTTACAAAATCAGGGGATCCTGTGAGTAAACCAGCCCTTCCCCTTGCTCGGAGCCAGTTTCTCTTGTCCAGTAAATTAATATCCTGCTGCTTCTGTCAACAATTACTAGGGACTTGGTTGGTGTCTATTATGTGCAAAACATGGAACCACTGTAGTGAAGAACTTAAGTTAGCTTTCTGCTAAACCTGTAGGTATGAACTCATACGTATGTAGGAACAGTTCTCAACATGAGGTCATACAGAAGAGCCGAAAGGAGTTACTTACCTCTAGTAAACAGGTGCTTTTCTGGTTAGAGGTAAAATGAACCAGAAAAATATAGGGACACACTTATGTAATTCCCTGTTTATTCCATTTGTTTTTCCTGTGCTCCTTTATACTATCCAGAGAAAAAGGAAGAGAGGGAAGGTAGTTCATTTGTTAGAAATAAATTTCTGAGGAATTAGTATGTTTTCATCTATGATACCTGTTTCTAGCCAGAAAAACAGAAATTACCTAAGATTATTTCACAAGGTTTGTTATCCTCATTTTTGGCAAATTTAACTTTCAAAGAGTGAACACAAAACTTTATGAAAAATCATACAATTAGGACTCACAAACTGTACATGTTCTGCAATTGAGAAGTGAAAGAATTATTCACAATACCTTAGCCGAAAAACCTACTACCATCTTGGCCTCCTTACATAAATAAAGTTAGGCTGAATCTGAGCCTGGGACAGCAAAATGGAAAGTAGAACAAGGAATCATCTTATCAACCAAAGTTGTTCATCTAAATAATTTAAACCCCCAAAATACCATTTTATGAAAACTAGACACAGGAATTTTTGGGGGATTGTCTGGACAGTTGATAAACAATTTAAGAACTAAGGAAATCCCAATTTAGGAAAAACATCTCCATTGGCCTTAATAGCCCAATAAATGCCTTGTCATTCTGTTTTGATTTGACATTGTAGAACCCACATGGTAATGACAGAGTTGAAGCAGGGTGAGCAGGGTGAGCAGGGAGAGCGCACACAGCCATTTTTCTCAGACAACACCAGCTTGACTTGACACTTCCTGCTGTGAGAGAAAAATCGGTGGTTAAAATGAAATAGCTGCAGGGTTTCTGCATATAGAAACGTCAAAATAAAAGCAGCCCAAGGAGAAACTATACATTGGTTATTACCTTCTCCTTTTGGGTCAGCATCTTGAACATTTGTGTACAACATTTTTATTTGGGATATATTAACTACATTTTTTTTAATCAGAAATAGTAAGTCTTTTAAAAATAATCCTGTTCTAAGTGTGCAGGAAAAATACATCTACACTTTTTTTTTAGTATAAACTTGCTACGATCACATTCCCAGCATAAGGCAGCATCATACCCACTGTCTTCCACTAGCCTTTAAGAGGTGGCATTGGGACGTGGCTATGAAACCAAATGCCCTTTGCTGATTAAATTAAGTGGTTAACATGCAGTATTGGTGAGGTGGAGAACATGAGTTTAATTCCTGTAATGGGATAACTGGATTTCATTAAGTTATATTTAGAAAAAAGACCACGATTGGAACCACTGTCATGGGATATACAAGAATATCAAGATACAGCTTGATGAAAAATAGACTCTACTTCTCAAAAGGGACAGACAAAACCAAACTGTTCAAATAGAGATGAAAATATGTATTAATAATATAGATACATGCAAGCAAACCCAGCTCATCAAACTCAATTGTTAGAAAGAAAAGAACTTGAACTTGCTTGTCCTGTGGATGGATCATTTGGTTGTTATCATTTTTATCTAAGAAAAGCAGGAAGAAGCCATTGTGAGTATATGTGATTAACTCTCTACTTACGCTCCAATCTTTTTATTCCCTCATTCTTGATTTAGACCCTCGCCGGATGAGGCCCTTCAGTGGCGTGATTCCCTGGACAAGCTCCTGCAGAACGACTGTAAGTTCATGTTGTTTTTGGTAAGGGTTAATAAGGGTCGTGTAGGGACAGAGACACAAAGCACTTTTGTGTTGCCCATGTTCTTCTTCCCCAATTTTGACATTTCTCCAGTTTTTAAAATCAGTCTCATCAAGGGAAGCGTGCCACGGGCACGTGGTTATCCAGATCACAAGATGGGGAGGGTCCACAGCACTGTGGGAGAAGGTGAACTGTAGGTGTCCTAGAGACTGGTGATTACAGGTAGCGTTCCCACATGTTTTGCTCACTTGTGTGAGCTAGAAGAAGCAGCTTTCCCTGAGTGCTTCTCAGTATTCTCATCAGTAAAATAGAGATACTATCATACCTTTCCCAACTTAGTCTCATAATGAATTGATAGGCTTGGAGATAGCAGTGTAAAGATCACTGGACAAGTCACGGGTAGTCCGCTCTGGTTCAGACTACTGTCAGCTGCTCTTGTGACCTGACATGGGTTGTTATCGACCCCAGCCTCTGTTTCCTCTTCCGGAATCATGCCTTTTACATCTTCATTCAAGACACGGCAAAGGTGCTGACCAGTGCAGAACTCTTCCCCAAGCTAATACCAATACACCAATGAGCACTACTTGCCTCTTCCTTAATCCAGTCCTTACTGATTCCCAAGGCTTACAGTATCAAGTTCAAATTTCTAATGTTGCAGATTTACCACGATAACTACACGGCCGGTCTGCAGGCAAATTCAACTGCTCTCTGTTCCATATAGGGTTTCTACTTGTAATCCCTTTGGCTGGAATACCTTGTACTCATATCTCTATCTGGTGAAATTCTCCCTCTCCTATAATAGCTAATCTAAATACGAAATGCCTACTGTTCCTTGATGGCCCAGAACAATTTATCCACTCTCTGAACTTCCAGAGCCATTTGTCTGCATATCTTCTAGCCCACTTAACACTTGCTGCCTTATAGTCTGTTCATAGCAGTCTCCCTTCTATGATAGATTGCAAGACTTAGTCCTTTTCGTCTGGATAATTTCACATCAGGAAGTGCACACTATGAGGAAAACAGATGTTTGTTAAATAATTCACTCAAAAGTAGGATTCAATTTAAAATACCCAACCCATATTTCTCCATCTTCACCACAGGAATGGAATGTGCAACTTTGTTACACGCTTTCCAAAAATACGGATTTACAAAGTATTTCTCACAAGACCATTATGATTAATGGGCACAGAGTAGATGAAAAAGAATGTATGTTGAATTGTACGTGAACATGTTTTATGTCTCGATTTTGGTAGAGTAAGTTTCTGCTTACCTGCAATACAATCAATCTCTTATTTTTGGAGAAAGAAAAGTCTCTAATTTGGGACTTTCTCAATCTTATTCATTTCTGATTGTCTTTTCCTTTCTTGTGCTAACTGACACATGCTAACCCTGCCCTGACACATGTAAGGTGTTCAATAAATATTTATTAAATGAATGAGTGAACAAATTAATTAATTTTGTTTCTTGGACCTCGAAATTCCATGAAGTCGACTAGGAGAAAAATATTTATGTTTATCAATTGACTTATTATCTTACCCTAGTGGTTTTGGGGCCAATAGCAGTTTGACAGAGGGCCTATTAATAAATTATGAATGCTAAGTACCCTGAGTGCAAGTATTTATTGCTATTGTTAAACCTGAGAGTTAGCAGAACTACTTTCATGTTTTCAAAATCATTAAGGAGGAGGATTAACATTTATGGCCCATATACAATACTTTTCAGTCACACTAAATCCTTAGAGCCACATGTTCATATATTTCAGGCTTTGAGGAGACAGAGAGCTACTTGGATAAGAAATCGAGGGGTAGGAGTTAAGCCAGAGGCAGCTAGTGCTGACATCTTAGCATTTGCCAAGGAACTAAAGACTTTGAACTTGCAAACATGATTACCATGGTGTGAGACTGAGGTATGAGATTCTTACAGTAATATTTTCCACTTCTCAGAGGGGAAAATATATATGCACCTGTGTATGATTGTGTATATGTGTATGTATACACATATATATGTATATATACTATTCACAATATTTCCTTAATTGTATATTATTTATATTTTTAAAATTATATATGTGTATACAGCACATGTGTGTATGTGTGTTTGTGTGTATATGTGTGTTTGTGTGTGTAAGTTCCACATCATTGTCTTCTTAAGTAGTAAATATTTTTAAGGTTGGACAATTAATTTCCCCAAATCAATAAATGGGAAAACATTTGATTTTTCAATTATTTCCTTGAAAGGGACACCTATCCATTCAAACTAACTTGGTTAAAAAAGAGAGTTTGTGGTATAGGTACATAAATCTCACTGACACAAAGGAGAGCCATGCCCTATGAGATGTAAAGCCGATAGTAAGCAAGACCATCTCTTTGTCTCCATTTCTCTGTCCTTACTGTCTCCCTGTCTCTGCCTTCTTCTTTGTCTTTCCATCTGCTCCCTCTGTCTCTGCTTCTCCCTAGGACTCATCTTCTTTCTCTGTGTCTCTCTCGCCACTCTGTCTTTGCTTCTCTATGGCTATTCCTAGAGAAGAACCAGTAGAATGATAGGCATGCCCAAATAATTCTACCCCCCCATTTGACCTATTCTCCCAAACATCAGCTATTGTGCACCACGGATAACAATAAACCAAACTTTGGCAACTCAGATCTTATGAAATGTTCTTATTTGCATCCACTAAAACTAGTAGTCTATAATCAGAAAATATCTAACATTAGCTATGATTGATGCAAAACAGGTAATGAAGGAAAAAAGATACATCTGAGAAATATATATGTCTAAAACTTCACAATCTCTACTTCTATGTTTGATTCGATAAATTGAAACCATGTAACCTTGAAGGGTAAGTAGTATCTTTGTTGATTTGGGGACATTTGGCATTCTCTTGTGCTAATGTAGGATTTGACTTCCACAGTTAATAATGTTTCCTGAGCATTCCTTAAATTCACATCTTTCTTAATTTTTCTTGAGTGGAAATGAAATCAATTGGTACCAAACCTTTAAAAAAAAATAAGATAGTTAAGCTGCTCCTCAATATTGTATAGTATCTTATTCTATAGTATTTATAGAATACTCTTGTCTTTCTTCATTTTTAAATAATTTTTAATCATCCAGTGTATTTGACTCTGTTCTGAAAGTATTTAATACATTGACTTCTCACATGTTTTGCCTTCAGTTCTTTAGGTGGCACCATCTGTTTCCATTTAGTAGGTCCATAGGGCATATAACCAGTGTTCTTTAAACACAAAAATAGATTGCACATGGGAGTTTAAATAAGACAGTGACATTTAATCATTCCCCCGCATGACCATTTTTAAGAGCATAGGAAGAATGAAACACAGTCCAATAGTAGCAAAGTTTTATGTGGATCTCCTTTCCCCAGGAGTCCCAAAAGGTCGAAACATTTCCTTGAAACACCCTTGAGATTTGGACTTTTCCATGGGGAATGAGGTAGACTGGATCCAGACTCATTTTTCTGTTTTTTCTATGCCCTTTCCTTTTGCTTCTCTCTCTGATTTCCACTTTTCTTCCTTCTCTTTTCTGGCTCATCTTTTTCATCATCTTACTCACAATTTCCTTGAAAATAATGGATACAATAATAAAAACAATAGCTAACATTTATTATTCATCACGTGCCAGACATTGTCCTAAGCACTTTGCATACATTAATTTGTTTAGTGATTGCAATAATTTTAGCACTTAGGTACAATCACAATCCCTGTTTTTCAGAAAAGGAAACTAAGATACAGAGAGGTTAGGTACCTTGTTCATGGAATAAAATACTATAGCAACAGTGAAATCAGTAAATTTATTTTTCTTTAAAATTCGTGTTTTTCGAGTCTGTAACTTGGAAGGAAATGCTTCCTTTAATGTATTTTATTTAGTTCAGTGAGAGGAACTATTAAATGTTAGGTGCACAGATTTAGGCTAGGAGGTGAGATGCAAAAGAGGAGCAAACAGGTGAAATGCAAACATTGAACTCGAAAAATTAACCACCTCATGGAAAAGATAACTGTAAAAGCAAACAATCTCAACGAAGGGACAGAAAGTGATCTCTTCTGTCTTGATGATAACAATCCTCATGAGCAAGTCAGTGGGTAAAGACTACCTCAAAGAGGAGGCAGCATTAGAGTGGGGTTTCGAGTGATGATAAGGATTAATTTAAAATTTGTTGTGAATCGTAATGATGAAAGCCAGCATGCATTGAGCTATTAATACATAATGATAATTATGTTTGGCACCATCTGAGAGCTTCATATGAATTATTTAATCCTTACCACAACCTCTTGAGGTAGGTCCCATAATCATCTCCATTGAACAGATGAGGCAACAGAGTCTCAGAGACAGATTAGATCACCTGCCCAAGTCACTGCAGTAAAATAACGTGCCAATTTTCACTCCCAGGCAATCTCGATTCTAGAGCTCGTGCTCTGAACCAATAAGCCATGCAATGGTATTTATCAACGACGTTTCACTCCCCTTCCCCTGTTGAAGAAATTTGAGCTAATCTGCTTTTCAACTATTTTTTTCTCTTTATACCAAACTGGCTTGGATTTGTCTAATGCTCCTTTTATTTTCAAAGTGGTTTTATAGGTGGTTTCACTTTGTTCTCAGGTAGGGCCACTACTCTATTTTACGTGGACGTCAAAAGTGACACCACTCATTAGGGCCAGCTCTAGGTATAATGAGGATCACAATCCAGAGCGTTTCCACAAGACCAGAGCATCTGGTGGCTTTCATCACTTCCTAGGTGTAGATACCTGAAGAGGTACATTGAGAAGTGTTCTGAGGCTCTGTGTAGTCTCAGCAGGGAAGGATGTGGTGATCTGTCAGGGAGGTGTGCTGGAGGCTCTTCTGGGCTGTGGAGCGGGCAAGGGAATGGTAGCAGGGCAAAGAAGATGTGTGTTCTTTGCACGATAGAGACATTTGGCCTGGAGTCTATTTGACTCTGACCCAAGATGACTTCCTCAGGGGTGACAGGAATTTAACAGAGAGAGTCTCTGAAGAAGGGACCAACAGAAACCAGAGGCTAAGGAGGAGAAAGTGCCTCGTGAGCAGTTGTTAGAGAGTGCCAGTAAAGAGCTCTCCAGAGAATGCTCAAAAGTCCGATGAGAGAAATATTAATAGCTTGAAACATCTCTCAGGCCAATAGAACATGAAGCCATTTTATGAGTCTTGGTTTAAAGTGTGTACATTGACAAAAAGCCTTGGAATCATAATATTGTGGAATACAATGAAAATGGTGAAATCGGTATCCAGGAAATGGACTCACTGCACTGGAAAGTTGTTTTCCAAGTTCATGCCCTGGAAATTTAGTAAATGTTAACATTGCCATGGAGTCCTGGCAGGTGTCCTCAGGTCCTAAGTGACAATGTTTGAGAGGACTGAGATGTTATCTCTACATTTTACAAAGACGCAGAAAGGGTGATTCAGAGTGCCCGATAGGTTGTGCGGACGTGGGACTAATGAGAATGAATTTGCCACAGATTTACTCTGTGGAATTATTGTTTTCCTCCATCGACCTGGTTATATGGGAGCTCATAAAACCTCATTTCCTAGAAGCTAGGAAGTGCCTGAGAATTCTTCCATTTTGAGAGACTATCTAACACCTTTTGTTTAAGAAACAATGAAAACTTTAACCACGACAGAGAGAGAAATAGGCCTTATGTTTTCTTTCATCTTATATGTTAACTCCCATGACACTAAATTATGAAAAATAGAGCTGGAAATATAGTTGGAAATATATATAGGGAGAGAGAGAAAATACACCTGATTTTATCCAGATACAGGTTATCAAATGGTTTTAAAGTAATCCCTCTAGCCAGGTTCCTAGAAAAAATTGTTTCTTATACCTACCATTGCTCCCAGATGTATTTTGAGGTGTTAATCAATAAAAAAATATATTTAGGGTAAGTACAGGGAGAGGGGATCAACTTGCACAGTGTATTGTTTGGATCCCGATCAATGGAGACCGTAATCCAAGTTAATGATCACTTTAGCCATTCTTTTTCTTTAGAATTGAATATGGTTGCAGGGGGCTTTGAAGGATTATGGGGACAAATGAAAATGTATAAAAGGTAATTTAAAAATGGACAATCACATACAGTGCTTCTGGTTTAATCATTACATACATTTGTGCTTGTTGCATGAAATCAATGTATTAGGCAACGACTAATAAATGAAACTCTAGAGTCTATAAAAAGGAGGAGGGAGAACGAGGAATAGATTGAAATTAGGTCAAAGGAAGTGAATTCAAAACATGTGCCCTAA